TCTTAAAAAAATTCATTTATTCACTTTACATCCTGATCATAGCCCCCCTTCCTTCTCTCCACCCAGTCCCTCCCTCCCTCCCTTTTTTTCCTATCTCCCATTTTCTACTCCTCAGAAATGGTTAGTCCCCTATCCTCCCACTAATCCACCCAAGCATATCAAGTCTCATGATGATTGAGCCTACCCTCTTCCCCTGTGGCCTGTTGAAGCAGTACTGCCATGATGAAGTGATCAAATAGCAGGCAACAAAGTCCATGTCAGAGCCAGTCCCCACTCTTCTTACTAGGAGGCCCACATGACGCCTGAGCTGCCCATTAGCTACATCTGTATAGTGGGTCTAGGCCCAGTCCATGCATGGTCCTTGGTTGGTGCCTCAGTCTCCAAAAGCTCTACTGGGCTCTGGTTAGTTGGCTCTGTTGGTGGTCTTGTGGAGCGCCTAAATATCATCCAGGTCCTTCTATCCTTTTCCCCCACTTTTCCACAAGACTCCCTATGCTTCACCCAAAGTTTGGCTCTGAGTCTCAGCATCTGTTTCAGTCTGCTGCTGGTTGGAGTCCCTCAGAGGTCAGCTATGCTAGGCTCCTGTCTTGTTCTCTCTCTTAGTTCTTTTGCTGTCTATTCTGTTTCCCCTTGTGAGTGAGATTTAAGCATCCTCCCTTGGGTCCTCCGTGTTCCTTGCTTTCTTTGGGTCTGTGAATTGTAGAATGCTTACCCTGTAGTATATGGCTGAAATCCACTTAAGTGTTTCTTTTTGGGTCTGGGTTACCTCACTCAGGATGATCTTTTTTAGTACCATCCATTTGTCTGCAAATTGTATGATTTTCTTCTTTTTAATAGCTGAGCAGTATTCCGTTGTATAAATGTACCACAGTTTCTTTATCCATTCTTCAGTTTGAAGGACTTCTAGGTTATGAGGTAGAATCTCAGAGTCATTTTGATTTGCATTTCCTTGATCACTAAGGACATTGAACATTTCAGTAAGTGCTTTTTGGCTCTTTGAGATTCCTTTGTTGAATATTCTTTGTTTAGTTCTGAACCCTATATTTTAATTGGGTTATTGGATTTGTTGATGTTAATTTCTTGAGTTCTATGTATATTTTGCATATTAGCCCTTAGTCAGATGGAGAGTTGGTAAAGAACTTCTGTAGGTATCTCCATCCCTCACTTCACTACATAGCAGTAGTAATAAAAACTGAATGGTACTGTCATGGAAATAGACTGGTTGATCAATGGAATTGAAGATCCAGAAGTAAACCTATACACCTACGGACACTTGATCTTTGACAAAGAAGCCAAAACCATACAGTGGAAAAAAGAAAGTATCTTCCACAAATCGTCGTGTTCTAACTGGATGGCTGCATGCAGAAAAATGCAAATAGATTTGTATTTATCACTCTGCACAAAACTCAAGTCCAGGTAGATCAAAGATCTCAACATAAATATATACTAAATCTATTAGAAGAGAAAATAGTGATCAGCCTTGAACTCATTCACAGGAGACAACTTTCTGAACAGAACAGCAACAGCTCAGGCTCTAAGATCAACAATTAATAAATGGGTCTTCTTGAAATGGAAAGGCTTCTGTAAGGCAAAGGACATGTCAATAGAAAAAAATGGCAGTCTACAATTTTGAGAATTCTGTTGCTACTGATTTTTTTTTTATATAGCCTACTTCAACGATAATCCATCCATGATTTTAGGTCTTCTTCAGTGTTATTTTAGCTCTGTTTTATGGAAGGAAGGAAAATCAGCCAAGAAAAACACAGTCTTAGGAAGAGGGCAATTTCTCAGCTGCTTAATCCTTATAGTTTTGTCTTCAGAGCTGAAATAGTCTAGTCTTTTTCTGCTGCTAATTTCTTGCAGCTGAGACAAGGTTACAGATATTTTAATCATCTTCTTTAGAGCATACTCTAGCTAGCAACTACTTTTTTACAAATATACCTCAGATATTAATGATTATTTTTTTGAGAATATAATATTTTATTACAGATTAAATTTCTTCTGATTAAAAATATAATTTCTCATGTCATCATCTTTACAAATGCCTACTAATCAGAAACAAATCTGATTAATGTTTAAGAAACAGAATACTTTTTATTTTTTGTTATTATTTGTTTGTGAAACCAAGCCTTGTTATGTAGTCCTGGTTCCTGCAATTTGTTGTGCAGCTGTGGTAGGCCTTGAACTCATGACTATCCTGCTTCAGCCTCTGACTGCTGACTTACACGGATGTATCACCACACCTGGCCAGTAAACAAAATCCCCAGTGCTATGAATTGAACCCAGAGCCTCCAGCATACTAAGCAAACATTCTACCTCTGGGCAATATCCCTAGACCCCCAATTTCCTAACTAGTTTATATTTAGTGTAGTAAATATTTAAATAATTTATTAGACCTGAAATATCCAACATAAAGTAGGTTTTGGAGCATAGGTCGTGATGGTGATAAGGCAAATAATAGTTATCCAAAAACAGGTATATTTTCTATATTACTCATTTCTTTTTCAGGTCTGCTTAGGCTTTGTATTAAGCAAAAGTAAGGGCAACATTTACTGGTGTTAGAAGGTAGATGAAAGACAGAAAGATGTTTTTAAATCATCCAGTCAGTAGGTGATTCTTAAAATACGTACAGGAAAGATGTTCCCTATTCTTATGCACTTGAAAATATTAAATATTTTCCCCTTTGTGTATTTGAAGGATTTTGGACTTGTTAATACCAGTTACTAACCGGGCTTGTGACACTGGACCAGACAAAGTGAGCCCTGTTTACTCGGCAGTGTTTGGAGGACGGGAAGAGTGCCTGGAAATACTACTGCAGAATGGCTACAGCCCAGATGCACAAATGTGCTTGGTTTTTGGATTCACTTCCCCTCTGGGCGTGGCTTTGCAAAAGGAGTATGTATGTTTGGTATCTCTGTTCATACTAAGTTGCTAACCTAGAAAGTGCCTGCTACAATAGCTGTTGTTCGGTCTAGCAAAAGTGAGGTTGATAATGCACAATTGTTTGCCTTTTCTCATTGCCATCTGGGTTGCACTTGTAGTGGAATAGTTTTAGGGAATAGTTTAAATGTATTAATGTAAATACAGGTCCACTCTGTTGTCTTTAAAATGATTCAAGAATCAAAAATGGAACTTCATCAAGTAAGTCAGTGATTGCCTTAGGTTATTCAACTTTAAACCCTTTTTGTTTTTCTCCTGCAATAATGTGCTACTATACTACTATAATATTTTATGTGATACAAATGGTCATTTTCTCTCTCTTTCTTCACAAGTAATTTAGGGTTGTATTTGTTTACTCTTTTTCATTCTGTTTCTCTTTGCTAAGAATTGAGCCTGGGACCTTGAACATACTAGGCAAGCACTCTACCATTGAACTAAATCCACTGCCCACAAAGTCACATTTTTTAAAAAAATATGGGTTTTAAGGGAATTAAAATCAGGTTCTGAAAGATATAATAAAGCAAACAGTTTACTGACTGAGCTTTTTCTTTTTTTTCCTGAAGTTGTACTTTTAAGGAATTCAAGTTGATTTACTTTTTTAGAAGTTTATTTTGTATGTATATTGTATGCTAATACCCCTCTGTGAACAGATGCGCACATCTGTGAGCATGTATATGGAGGCATGTATATTGATACGGGCTATTTTCTTGTGGCTCTCCATCCTAGTTTTTGAGGTAGGGTTTCTCATTGAATATGGAGCTAGAATGGTTGGCTAATGAACTCTAGAAATCTGTTTTGTCTCTACAGTCTCTCTCTCCCTAGCAGTGAGGTTAAAGAATCACTTTGCTGCACCTGTTTTCGTTTTGGTTTGGATTTTGTTTGTTTGTTTGTTTGTTTGTTTGTTTTGAGACAGGGTTTCTCTGGGTAGCTTCCATTGTCCTGAACTTGATTTGTAGACCAGGCTGGCCTTGAACTCACAGCAGTCAACCTGCCTCTGCCTCCCTGAGTGCTGGGATTAAAAATGTGTGCCACCCAGCCTATCTGTGGGTGGGTTGCCAGGGATCTAAATTCAGGATCGTATACTCGCTTGACAATTATGTTCCTGGCTGAATCATCCCTCTAGCTTCATTAGTTTTCTTTTTATACGTAAGTTACTCTGTGAAATTTTTTTTTTCCTGTGGAAATTTTAGTGCTATTTAAAACAACAACAACAACAAAAAAAAAGGTTCTCGTGTATCTTAGACTGGTCTTGTACTTAACTATGTAGCCAAGGTTGCTAGAATTACACGTGTGTACCACCATGTCCAGCTCTCAGTGCTAATGCATTCTTTATGTGCGGCATGAAGTCATGTCTAGCTCAGCTGAAGTTACCCCAGTGCAGCCTCACTCTTACTGTCTCAGAATTACATTTAAAAACTGTGATCAACACCTCCCCCGAGGGGGAAGCAGCCTTACTAGGTGACAGAGGAAGACAGTGCAGCCAGTCAAGATGAGACCTAATAGGCTAGGGTCAGAGGGAAGGAGAGGAGGACTTCTCTAACAGTGTACTTGGAAGGAGCATGGGAGGAGATGAGGGAAGGAGGGAGCGGGCTACAGCTGGGGTACAAAGTGAATAAACTGTAAATAATATAAAATATAAATAAAATTAAAAAAAAAACTGTGATCAAGCTTAGCATGCAGGGACAAGCCTATATACCTATATGGGGAAGTAGAGGAAGCGGTATCAGGAGGTCAAGGCTACCCTGAGCCAAAAGGGAATTTGAAGTCAGCCTATACTGTAAGGCATCATCTCAGAAATCAACCACCCAACCACAAAATAACACTGGTTAAAATACAAAAATGAATTACCCAAAGTTTCTGTCAAATATACCAACGTACCAACATGTGGTAACTTGAGGTGACTGGTAAGATGGTACTTTTTTTCTTATTACAGCACTCTGAGGTAGGGCCCTAGTCAGGAGCTGGGTAGTATCAGTGACTCCAGCAGGTAAAATCTCAATATAAATTATAGCAAGACCTTTTCAAACCTGCTTGTACTATAAATAATGACACAGAGGCTTTTAGTGTAGTTTAAAGCATAGGCCTTTCACTAGGGCGGTCTCCCAGCTAGCTCATCTAACTTAACTCGACTATCTAGTGGGTGACCGCCACATGGCAAGCTCTGTACCTCTCTGCTCTAGTTCCTATTTCACTCCCAGTTTGTCTCCAAACTGCTGCTTCTCACAGCATCCCTCTCTTGGAAGTTCTATTCTTCTTCCTGCTTCAGATATTGGCCATTGGCTTGGCTCATTATTACATCCAATCAGCAGTGAGACAACCTCTGATACATTTCTAGATTGCCGCTGGGCAGGTGAGGAAAGACGAATACTTGGAAAATATAAAGCTGGTGATGGGCCATCAAGATCATGCCAGCATGTATCTCTCTGCTGGTACAGTATTAACAATTGAAAATACAGAGACATACTTTCATACAAAGTAAAAAAAGGACATCCCCAACAATAAACTTTTTTCCACAAGAGAAGTTGGCTAATTGGAACCCGTGGGCCAGAAGTAGATAATGGGGAGAGTGTTGGAGAGAGCTGCTGATTATGCATATTATACATATTATTGGTTTACTGTTAGTTTCAGATGTATTGGAGAGACTCAGATTGTTCAAAGCAAAATTAAGCCAAATCTTCAAGTAAGTCCTTGAGGTAGGCCCCAAACTGTGTAACAAAGACCTTGAGAACATTACAAAGAAATACTGTCTGATAAAGGTGAAGCAGAAATTGTAGGCTGAACCTAACTACCTTATCCTTCTGCTAAGACAAACGAATAAAGTTACTAGTCCTCAAAGGATGAAAAGACACAGGACCCAGAATTTTTACCTTGTTTAGCGTGCAGTCTAAAATTACTTGCTATTCCCAACATCTGGATAATCTATGGATTAATTGTCTTTCCTTGAGATTAACTAAATGGGTTGTCATATAGCAAGTAGTTGAAAGCAGTTATTATTTCAGACACCTAGAGGCACATGAATGGCCAGGCCCCTCTGCTGAGGATCTGATTGCCAGGTTCCAACCACAGAACACCAACCGCCCTAAGAACTGTGCCACCCCCATTCCTCCCTGCTTACGGAGTGAAAAGCCCAAGGTTAAGAGCTGAAATGTTACCAATCCCTGGGCTCACCCCAAGCTCTAGACTTAAAATACCAAGAGTATCCTCCAAAACCTCTGTCTCTTATCAGGAAGCCGCCTGACTATGTAATAGCAAAAGGAGAACAAAACAAAATAAGGACTGGCAGACTGTTCGCAAAGGGACTATTGGGACTCGTCTCATACTCTTGATTTTGGCTTAACTCTCTAAAACTTTTGCTAAGGTATAAATCTAACTGCAAGATTTGTAAGCATATTGGGTATGATTAAAAATCGGTAAAAATCTGTAACGAAAGGGCTAACTTAAAACTTGTAACACCAGAATTGAGAGCTAAAGAAATCTATATACGTAGGTAATATTAAAGGAAATATGTGACTTCCTGCCATCTTAGATGCTGTCCTCTCACCGGAATGGAGGCAGCCATTTTTGCTAACATTGGAAAGGATGGATTTTGCCATGTGACTTCATTCCCATCTTGATGTAAATTGAACACATAGCATGAGTCAACCAAGGGAAAAAAAAAGAAAACAGCAACCAAACTCCTCCTAGCTATGAAGCCTAAAACAAAAAAAAAGGATTTGAAGGGAACTTGCTTTGCAATGATTGCTCTTAGTAAAAACTACTCATGTCTCTGGTAAATTGTAGGTGGACAATTGTAAAAGCTAAAGTTCTGAGGGTCTAAGAAAATGTTATAAAATTGAGAATGTGAAAACTTAAGTTAGTTGTGAGGGTCTGAAAAAGTGTTATGAAGGTCTGAGAATGTAAAAGCTAACAAAAGTTGTGAAGGTGCAAGAATGTGTTATAAAAGGTCTGAAGGTCAAAGAAAGTATATAAAGGTTTGAAAATATGAAAGCTTAAATTTCTGAGTTTATGTGGAGAGAAATACTGTTAGTAGTGTCTGAGGAGGACAAAAATGTCTAAAACAGTTATCAAATTTATCAGAATCACTACTCATAAAGTAAGCATAAGTGAATGTAATTTAAAATAATTATGATATTACTTTTTCTAATTATTAAAAAACGAAGTAATAGATTTCTTACATATGATTTTCAGCTAACTAATAAGAATTCAAATTTGGGTGACATCATTGGTAGCAGGTATTTGGAAGACTTTTCTAATATTAACTTGATATTGCAGTGAAATAAATTTACTTAAACAAGTTTTCAAGATTCAATTTTACACTAGCAGTGCACATAGAAATGGCCATATTCTTTCTATTCTAACGAAAGGCTATCTAACCCTGAGAATTTACAGTGCTTGATGGCATGCAGTAATCAAAGGCTTGCATGTATGGAACGTGCCTTTGTGTCTGAGATCTTTTACAGTAACCATCTCAGATGCTCAGAGTGGACTGCAAAATTCTGTGGTTCTCTAACTTATTTCACTGTCTTCCTTGTGAATGGTAATTTGGTTAGAAAATGTCACTGGCCAGTTTCCTAAATCTTTTGAGAATATGTTTTTTCTTCTTTTAACAAAATGCTGTATGAGTATACTAATTGGAAGAGGCTTTGGGCTTTTTTACTGAACATATTTTATAGGATACTAATTAAGAGATAATACATTGGATGAAAGTAATTCTGTAGTTAAACTTGTAACACACAAGGTTAAACAGTGTTCTGAGAATTTTTCTTGTGTGTTGTAGGGGAATGAGTGGATCTATAAATGTTTGAAGAATTTGCATACTCAGGGCAAGTTTATATTTATAGTAAATATGTCATTGTCCCTATATTTATAGGCTTTTAAGGGATTTTATACTCTTGTTTATTATACTTTATTCAGATTACTGATTGGGCCCATTGCTTTAATTTTAAAGGTACTTTTGAAAAGTGTTTAGAGGTTGATGAGTATTGACCGTTATAACTAACATAGTGCTTAAAAATAGCTTTATCCTATACTTCGATTTTTTTTTTCTAGGCTTTTGGTATATGGAATAAGCTTTATCTAGGTTTTTTGTTTTCGTTTTTTTTTTTCTCACTCCTTAGAGAATATCTTTTTTTTTTCTGAGATATTGTCTCAGTATGTAGCCTTGGCTGATCTGTAACTTGCTAAGAAGATCAGGTTGGATGTAACTCACAGAGATCCACCTAACTCTACCTTCCAGTTGTTGGGATTAAAGGTATGTTCCACTACACTTGGAGAGTTTTATATATCTTAGGAAGTAGTTGTTCTTAGTCAGGCGGTGCTAGTACATGCCTTTAATCCCAGCACGCAGAACGTAGAGGCAGGCAAATCTCTGTGAGTTGAAGGCCAGCCTGGTCTACAGAGTCAGTTCTAGGACAGCCAGGGCTACACAGAGAAACCCTGTCTCGAAAAACAAACAAACAAAAGTAGTTGTTCTCCCATGACTATAGTTGAAACATCTTAATTTTTTAATATAAAAATCTTTGTTTCTAGATTCTGGATTATAATAATTGAAAATGTATTAATATTTGTAGTTCTTTAAAATTACACAATGCCAATTTCATTTTTGATCTATTAGAATTTTTTATTATGATTGGCTCTTTGTTTATAGAGCCAGGATATTAATTCTTCTTCCGATGTCTTTAACTTTCAAGTAGAAAAGTGACTTTTGTTTATCATGCTACCTTTTATAACTATCTCTAGCTTTTTTTATTTAACTTTTTTTTATTGATTCTTTGTGACCTTTGTATCATGCACCCAAATCCCACTCATCTCCCAATCCCTCCATATCCACCCTCTGCCCTTGCAACCTCCCCCTCCAAGGAAAACAAAACAAAACAAAAACCCCAAAAACCAACCAAACAAACAAACAAACAAAAACCCCTATCACTGTGCAAACTATGATGTGTCTTGGTGTGTCACCTATACTCTTTTGTGCAAACAGCTTCACCTGTAAGTGTTCATTGCAATGAGTCATTTGTCTTGTTTGAGGTTCCTAGCTTCTCCCACACTTTCAACACTGGAACTTCACCAGGACTTCTCTTGGATATACTGTTGTTCTGTGTTTTACAGATCTTAAATCTTTGGATTTATAGGACTGGTTCGTTCACATGCTTCAGCAGTTCATATAAAGGGTAGGGTGCTTTAACTCAAATCCTGTATCTAGGCCTGGGTGGTAGCTGAGTTGGTCTGCCAACCGGCTCACTAGTGCCCCCTCTACCAGGGCCAGCTTTACTGTTCGGCCCAGGAGAGGTGTGGGGCCTGCTTTCCTGAGTGCTGTAGGTAGGCAAGGGTCAGGGTCACTTCTGCCGTGATCCAGGGGAGGCCCGGGGCCAGTTCTACTCAGCCCTTCAATATCAACACGCCTCCAAAGTGGCAGCCCAGAACAGGGCTGTCCTCGTGGCCACAGTAGACCTCTGCTACTGCAAGGCCATGAGCTCCTGTGTTAGTATTGACATCTTTTGAAAGGTAGGATGGTTAAATGTTTTTTCAACCTTAAGACAGGAAATAAATCCCTGGCCAAGGTTAAACACAGCACAGAAAAACGTATTCAACATCATGTCATCTAGTCCTAGTTGAATTGCCATAACAATCAACTAGAGGGATTAGCAAATAGGACAGTGATGAGAAATAAACACAGCAGGACATGCTGAGTCAGTTGTGGGTCTCCACTCTTCAGGCACTACTCTTCTTGAGCTAAGATGCAGCTCGAGGAGTCACAGCAGCTTACACAGTGGTCAGCTCTCTCAAAGCAGGAAGGTGTAGGACCACTACACTTGTGTTTGCCGCTGGCTCTGCTGATGGACGGTGTAATTTCCAAAGGAGCTGGAACAGCAACTGCCTTTGTGTCTCCAGTTCCACCTCTCTCCACAGTGCACAAACCACTTGGCTTTCCTTCCTTATCCATCTTTCTACCACCTTCTTTTTTTCTTTGTCTTCCCTCACTCTACCACTTAACTTGCCAGACTGGGCGTGGACCACATAATGCCAATATCAAAGAGAATAATTTTATTCTTATATAATTTCTTTCTCAGTTGTGTGCACATTGGACATATATGTTTATTAAGCTTTGCTACAGTTAACAAACAGTTTTATAATATGAACATGTAACTATCAACCTTGAAGTTTTAGATGACTGTAATATGTTACACTTATTTACCTGGTGCTTTGTTATTGAATATTTAGGTGGTTTCTTTCTAAAGGCTGCTACAGATACTACTGTTAATAACAAATTTCTACAAGTGGTTTACAACTTATTTTGAATTTTATCTTTTGAACAAATTTCCAAAGATTATATTATTGAATAAGATGTCTGAAAATGTTAATACTTATTTATGTTTCAATTCATATATTTACTTGTGTATTTAAATATATTTACCTAAAGTGTATTTATTACATGTATAGTATTCCATCTACTTATTTATTTTCATAAATAGTTGTGTATGCTGGAGAAGTCAGGTCACTCATTTAGAGCTGCACGACTTGATGGCTGCCGGGACTCTGCTCTCTAACTCATGGCTGTGCTGTGGCTCTTTCAAATGAGATTACACCTGCTTTTTTTCAGTGTAACTATCAGTATTGTATGATCTTTTTTTAAGCAATAAATTTAATAGGTAAAAACAATGTTTATTTTATAGAGGTGCTTGATAAGAAAGATTAAGTTTAAAATACAGAGCTGTAGGTTAAAATTTGTTCATGTATTATAAAAGCTTTCCTGTATGATAGGTATGAAATCTATACCTACCTACCTACCTATCTATCAACCAACCTACTAACCTACCTACCCACCTACCAACCAACCTACCTACGAACCTATACCTACCTACCAACCTATCTACCTGCCTGCCTACCTACCCACCTCTACCTACCTACCAACCTTCCTACCTACCTACCTACCAATCTACCTACCTACCTACCAACCTATCTACCTACCTATCTACCTACATGTTTGCTGAATATAAAAGAATGAAAATTGGCTAAGGATATATAACATGGAGGTTTCTAGAATGTATCAATCTTTTTAGTTTAAAAAATATCCTGTAGGAGAAATGCTTAATTGAACAAAAAAATTATAGCTTGTAAAAGGGTTTCTTTGTCAAGGAGTCTTTTAAAATCTTAGCATTGAAAGCAGAGGGACAATGCAGAGGGATTGATACATAAAGATTTTTCCTCTTCACCTCATCTCAGCTTATCGCATGTAAAAGCCCAGTGGGTATTTCAGCTGCCATCTCATTCCCGGTTGTAACGACTACCAACAGTTTGTTAATAAGTATTTGTTGTGTAGAATTCTAACCTTTAAACTTCTGTGTAATTTTTTTTGGGTGAAGCTGTGAGTTCCTTGGAATTGTGAATATTCTTTTGAAATATGGAGCCCAGTTAAATGAACTTCACTTGGCCTACTGCCTCAAGTATGAGAAATTTTCAATGTTTTGCTCCTTTTTGAAGAAAGGTTGCCTGTTGGCTCCATGGAATCATACCTCTGAGTTTATAAGTTACGCAGTTAAAGCACAGAAAAACTATAAAGCATGGTTGCCGCAACTCCTGCTCACTGGATTTGACCCGTTGACTCTGCTGTGCAGCAGCTCTTGGTAAGAAAGTTTTCTAGTGGGCACTCCCCATTGGTAATGAGACTGCCTCCAACAATGTTCATCAGTTCTTGAGATCTGCACCGTAGGAGAGCAAGGGCGTGCGTGCGTGCGTGCGTGCGTGCGTGTGTCTGTGTATGCATGCACGTGGGCAGACGTATGTGCACCTGTGTACTGACCGCCATAACCGCATTGTGGAAAGTATTGGCCACTGTAGCTGTTCTGGGTTGAAAAAGTTGGGGCGGCAAACAGAAGTTGATCTTAAAGCACAGAGTTCTACACAAAGTGACTGCAAGTGGTTAGAAAAGATATAGCTTCCAAGGGTTCTTTCCTGAGGGACTGTCTTCTACTCTTGACCATTTCTTGTCCCCCTCTTTTATTTATGGAGACAAGAGTCTTAGTAGCCCAGACTAGTTTTGAACTTTTAGTACTCCTGCGTCAACCACCAGAGTGTTGGAATTGTAGCCATGCACTACATGATAGGAGAGAGGCCACTCCCCAAGTCATCACACACAGATACATATGCACACAACTTTTTTTAAGTTGGAAAGCAATTTTTATGCTATAATCAGTCATTTCAAGGATACTTTCAAACAGAGAAAACAAGTTGTGTTTGAGAGAAGTTTAGAGTTTTATTTAGTTTTACTACCTTGCATTTCTTTGTGTGTTTGTCGGGGGAGGGAGTTATGTCTTCATTAATGTGCCTGTGTTTTTGGAGGTCAGAGACAAGTGGGGATACTTCTATCTACCCCTCCCTTTTCTCAGTGTGCTTTCTAAGGAACCAACAACTGAACTGCCTGTCTTGCTCCATTCCGATTCTTTCCTTTCTTCATTTGTTCCCTCAAAGTGTCTGCAAAAATTGAACATGAAAAGAATTTTTTTTTGTATTAATTGAATGAAAAAATAAATAAAAGGAGGATATAACTGTTCCTAAGGAGTTAAGGTGTTCTATTATAGATAGAAGGGAGAGCACAGGCAGAGGCATCTGGTGAGTCCAAAGTGAACATGATCAGTTGACTGAACAGAACCATGTAAGGAGAAGGGGAAGGGGAGAACAAGAGAGGAAGAGAGGAGAACCAGGAGCCAGGGGGCCAGGAGACTAAAAGGCCAAGATACTGGATATGTTAAATAGGCACCTTAGCAATTTGTGTGGGTTTGAGACCTAACAGTAATGTATTTTTCTTCACTGTGGGGCTGTCTAGTTGATCTTAGATGAGTAATTTTGCTAGGATTTTGAGTTCTCTTAAAGTTGTGACTGAATTTCATGTGTATAATGATGTGAGATCTAAAAGATACAATACTGAAGTTTTCATATTCTAGTAATATTAAGTATTTATAAACATCATTTACTTTTAAAAGTATGTGTATTGTATATTTTTATAAAGTCTGCAAGTTATATATTATGTAAGAAAGCTAGCGTTTAAAGAATTTAGACATTAGACATTTAAGTAGAAGAGGTGTATTAGAAATCAGGACTTGCGGGGCTGGAGAGATGGCTCAGAGGTTGAGAGCACTGACTGCTCTTCCAGAGGTCCTGAGTTCAATTCTAGGCAACCACATGGTGGCTCACAACCATCTATAATGAGATCTGGTGCCCTCTGCTGGCGTGTAGGCACACATGCAGGCAGAACGCTGTGTACATAATAAATAAATAAATCTTAAGAAATCAGGACTTACTTGAAACCAGTGTTTGTTTGTTTGTTTTCAGTAGATACCAAGTATTTCTAACATTTGGGGAAATCTCTGTGTGTGGATTGCTAGGGAATCCTGTATTGTTTTGAAAAAAGAGAGGAAGATCTGTTAATGTGGAATTCATTTCCATCCTTAGAGTTGGAATCACTCTTTAGGGCTGACTCTATAGTATGGAAGGTTCTTTAGAATAGCTGTACAATCCCTGGGAACGGTATGGTGATGGGAGCTGTGGGATAGTGGAACCATTTCTCTTGTATACTCAACAGTGAGTGGAGATTTTTGAGCTTTATCTTTCCTGGATCATTCTGTATCTGTAGGGACTATATTTGTCAAGACAGCTCAGTTGGGAGTTGATAATAGCAAGTCCACCCAAGACACTGGTGCTTTTTCCAATGGAAAAGGAAGGGCCTGCTTTTCAGGAGTGTAGAGAATTCTTATGACGCCCCTTGGAGAGTTGCACAGAGTCTATTTCATTTCTGGGAGTCCACTGAACTTGTCTTAGTTGTATTGATACTTTGTGTGGTTTTGTTTTGTCCATTTTATTATTAAGTTCTTGTAAAAATGTGAGTGTTGTATTTCTTTCTAGCACTAGCCGTATATATAGTTTGTGATGGATTGTTAACGTGTTGTTGATACAGGGTTGACTCAGTCAGCGATGACATTCTTATCTTTACTTTGGAATTTTCTAATTGGAAGAGACTTCCATCAGCTGTTGAGAAGATGCTCTCTGCTCGTGCAAACTCCTCTTGGGCTCTTCAGCAACATTTGGGTAAGAAAGTACAGATTTAAACACACTGCTACTTTTTCTTCTCTTGGTTCTCTAGCCATGTTGGAATTTTTCATAGATTTGTTAGAGAACGATAGTAAATTAGGCATAATTTGCATGTGGAGAGGATGGGAAAGTACAATGATTCCTCTGAGAACTGTGTCTGTTTATAAGTTTAGCCTACAGATCTTATAAAGGACAGTGATAGCCCTTTTTACTCAGTGATAGCCTTTTGATTTTACAAAGATATATAAACAAAATATTTAGTTTGTATTCAAAAGAATGCTGAACTTAATTTCTCTCTAGAAATTTTTGTGGAATTTTGTTTTCTCTGTAACAGGTTATCATCTCTGAAAGGAAATATTAACACCTTTTATTTGTACCTGTCTATATTTCCTGGAAAATTATGTTTTAGTAAATTTTCTCAATATAAAGCAGACAGTGGAAAATATGCTTTTGAACTTAGGCATACTCAGACTGTGAGAAAAGTTTCTGATGAGGAAGAGTTTTCTGTTTGGGGTATCCAAGCCTTCCAGTTTAGAATTTCTTTAATGGTAATGTGGTAAAGTTGTCTTGCATTGAATTCTCAACATTGATGTTTGAGTATACTTTTACTAATTATGTATTTCCATCATCAGAAAACAAATAGTAATTCAGAACAGATAGAATGTGGGACAGTGAACTTGGGAACAAAATATCAAAAGGGCGCATATGACAAAAATGGGAAAATTATTTCAGCACTTCAATTATTAAAGATATGTTTGCATTTTCTCTGAAGTCCTTAGCACATGGCAGGTGTGCTTAAATCAGTGATTCTCAATCTGTAGGTTGTGATCCCTGTGGGATCACATATCAGGTAATCCTGCATGTCAAACATTGACTAGTAGCTAGTGCTTTTCTCCTCTTTTCTCTAGCTACAACCCCTTTTCTTGATTCCAGTTCTATATATCCAAGAGCCATTTGGATATTAATGTTTTGTATCTTATATTTTGATGTATCCATGATTGAATGTGTCATTTTTCTTATAAATCTTTCTCTTTTCTAGTTCTGTAAGTTTGATAGTTTGGAAGATGTTATTCTTTAAGAAAATGACATAGAATCTAACAGCTGTTTGCTATCCATTTCATTCCCAGTGGTGGTGTTTCAGTGCTGTGTATGGACTTCTTTTCTTTCTTTTACCATGCCCAGCTCTTTTTTAAAATTAATTATTTTTATGTGCATTGGTATTTTGTCTGCATATGTGTCCAGACAACTATAATCTGCAGGTGGGTGTATGTGGATTTTGCCATTGTTTGCAAAGAGGTTTGAATGCTATCTAGGTGGTAATATATTTGATTTCAAGGCTAGATCTAGTGGCTCTGTAATTCACAGTGATCTCTGTATTCAGAAAGCTGAGACAGGAAGATCACAAGTTAAGGCTAGCTTGAACTATATAGTGAGGCCATCCTGTGGTTACACAGTGAGACAGTTTTAAAAACAAGATAATACCTCTGTAAGAACCCTTCGGTTACTTTATGATGAGATGAGAACAACCATTATTAATTTTATGCATTGAAAACCTTTTTCATTACCTTAAAAAATTACAAATCTTAAAAACTCTAGACTCTTCGCAGGGTGTGGGGTGCAGCCCCCTGCATCGTACAGCAGGGTTTTTCCCGTTTATCGAAAAGATTTTCATGGAATAGAGTTTGATCGTGTTTTTATTTTCCAATTTCTTCCAGATCTTCCACCCCTCTGCCCACCCAACTTTAGATTTATTCTCTCTTCCTCTCTTTAACCTCCCCCTTTTTCTCCAAAAATAAAATAATAAAAAAATCAAAACAACTAATAACACAAAAATTAACAACTCCAACTCTATTGCACCAGTATATCTTACAGGTAGGAACTGATGTAGAGTGTAGGGTCTTTAGCTTAGTAATACTGATCTTTATTACTGTGCATAATGCAGTGGCTCTTGTGAGGCTGAGGCCTACGTGGACGACATAGTGAGTTTCCAGGTTTAATAATGAGACCCTGTGGAAAACAAAAACAAAACAACTTACTGTGCCAGGTGGATACATGTGTGACTCTAGCACATACAGCGATTTTAAATTTAATTTAACTTAAAATTTTTGAGCTAGGTTCTTACTGTGTAGCCTAGGCTGGCCTTGAGTCTATAATACCATCTCTGTCTCCAAGTGCTGGGGCTAGAGCTGGTATGCCTGGCTTACATTGTGTAATAAATTCTCTTGATTTAAGGAAAAGGAGACATTTTAAGTCAATGAGAAAGTTAACTGATTCTGTTTAAAAAAATATCTTGTTGTGGGAATGTGGGAATCTCACTGGTATTGTGAGACTTTTTTGACAAAGAAAAATGTCCACTGGTGTATGTGGAAGTAATGTCTCTGGCTGTCAAAGTATTTAATAAAAATGTAAAGGTGTAAAACTTTCTAATTAACTTTAATTTTTTTTTCTGAGCATAGTGGCCATGCCTCTAGTCTCAGCATTTAGGAGCTAAAGGCAGATGGAGCATCATCACAAGTTGAAGTATAGCATGGACTATTGAGTATAGGCAACATCAACTCCAGTTTCCCTGTTTGTTTCCACGGTGATTGGGTATTGTTTAATCGGAGAAATAACTATCTTTTGATTAGAAGCATTGCTATCAGCTAAGAAATACTCAGAGGGTAAGACACCGAAATTTTGTTGGGTGTCTATTAAATCTACCTGTTTATGCAAAAGGTCTGTCCCAATCACTTCTCTGTTGTTAAATACCTTTTGAACTTCCTTTAACAATTGAGAGTTACTTATACCTTTAAAGTTTTCTAACTTTTCTAACTTTTTAAAATGTCTGGATCCTACTGGATGACAATGGAAATATTTTTAGCAGCTGTCTTTAATATTTCTGAAAAGAACCTAGGGGGAACAAAATTGAAAGTCTGCTTGTTCAGTGTTGGACAGAAGGGAAACCCATTCTAAATAGCTCTTCCAAGAACTAGTGACCTGATTTGGCTTCAGCCTATCAATGGGGCCCAACAATGGCGTAGCTTTCATAGCAAAAACCTCTCTAGTAATAGTTAAAGCTTTAGGCATAGATTGAAAAATTCATTCTACCTATGGACTTAACAGTTCTGGGCAAGTAGAAAAAAAAAATAAACCAGATGTTTAAAACAAACAAACAAACAAAACCCATAACTTTCATTTGCATCCAGAGAAAGGTGAGAAGATCTTCTTCCTTTGCTGACATAGTATGACCTCACATTTCCTCCACCATGCTTTCACTGCTGTGGTAGATGGTATTCTCTTAAACCATGAACCTTTTCCTCTGTAAGTTGATTTTTCAGGTGTTTTATGACATCAACCTCAAAATAACTACAAAGTTGCCATCCTACTGATGCTTACTTATACAAGAAAACTTGAGGGTTTTTTTTTTTTTGCAAGGTAAAGACTCACATTTGCTAAAACTCTTCAATCTGTTATCTATTTAATGTGTGAACTGTACTATTATGTTTCTTAGGTACTTAAGTGTGTGCATTCCTGTTGAAATATTTGAGTTTTGCATTCTAGCTTTATTCTTCCATAACTCTTGATTGTCTTGTGTGAGTTTTCACGACACAACAGTTTTTACTAAGGCATATGTAAAAACAGAACTGATAGTCAAAACTATAAGCTGATAGAAATATGTCATCCCAGTCTTTTTTTTATAGTGGAACCTATTTCTTCAACATAAACGTGGCTCCTGCTGGTCTTCTTATAATCATTTGATTGTTCAGGTTGTTTCACATAACAGATCTCTCATAGTTAATGTTGCCACTGTCTCTGTAAAGATGGGCCCCAACTGTCAACATTCTGGCCTCCTGTGTGTGAATGCCAGCTTACCCTTTGCCCTCTGTAGCACCCAGAACACCAGTCTGATGACTGTATCCTGTCCTGCTCCACCTGTTGAGTACCTTGTTAAAAGAAGAAATGGAAAGAGGAGGGGAATGCAAAACAATTGCAGTTTGGGCTGAAGAAGAAAAGTTAGTGAATTGTCATGGGATACTTCTTTTGGATTTGTATCATGGACTTGCCTACATTCTTGTAATATGTTCCCTTCAATGTTGATGTGAAGATTGCCATTTTGAATTAGAGCAGTTGTGATCACCCACAGGTGACCATCATGAAATTGGGTCTACTAACATTCCCTCCTGGAGGGAAGGGCAATTTCATGAGGCTCATTGTAAAAGTAACTTATCTGCTTGGTGTAATTGTCATCTTATCGGCTTATTGCCTCTGTCTGCTAACCTAGGCCTAGTCCTGGAAGCTTCCAGCCTCCAAAGAATCTAATGTAGGCTTAGAATGTTTTCAGAATCTGAGACTTATTGCTGCATGAGCTCACCTTTTCTAATTCTTTCTGAACTTTTACTGACTGGTTCAACTCAGTTGTTCTAGCTCAAACTCCTGTCTGGCTTCTCTCTTGGCTTTTGACTGAATTGCTCTGCTTGGCATCATACTAATTTTGGCAATCTCTTTGAATCTTCTGGCTTCTTCTTATTCTCTGCCTTGTTCTGTCTTCAACTTTTTCTAGCTTGTTCTCTCTGCAGCCTTTTTCTGTACAATTGTCCTAGTTAAACTGTCTCATCCCTTTCTCCCACTGTGCTGCTCTAAATAGACTCTTTCCTATTTCTGACTCAATTTCTCAGATCTTTCTCTGATTTAATTTATCACTTTATCTTCCCCCTCACTTAGATACCACTTTGAAACCAAAGGTGCTTCGATTTACAAGCTAACTTTATCTTCATTGTTTGGGATTAAAGGTGTGTACTGAGGATGTGTCTGTATTCTAGCCAGAGGAATTAGAGGTATGTGGCATGTTTGCATTCCGACTGGAACACCTAGACCTGGGTCTTTGGATGTGCTCTTGCGACAGCAGCCATGTTTCTGGATTAAAATCCCTCTACTTCTCACAGGGCTCACTACCCTTCAGTAGCCAGTGCCCTCCCTCCCCTCCCAAAAGTTACGTAAGAGGTAAATCATTAACTCCA